GTTAGCGGTGACGTTTGAGGGTTCGATCAACGAGGAGATCAACATCCCAGGTCATCCAACCTAGGCCTAGGCACGTTCTAGAGGTAAGAGAACTCGATCTCTTTGAGCTAGGTCGATTGATTTGGTGATTTTTCGTGAGGGTAGAATTCTGGGGTTTTAGCAACAGGCTTTACAGGCTTTTAGTGACAGATTTTGATTAGTCACTAAAGCTGTTGGGAATTTCCAGAAACGTATTTTTAGATGTTTTAAATTGTTTCGAGCCTCTATGAAGGTTTTTTCTGAATTTAATAATTTTATAAATTGAGCGACGTCTAGGAGATGACTGTAATTTAATTTGGCGATTGTTGAAGATGTATTTCAATTTTATAAATTGTTAGAATATTTGTTTTAATTAAATAAAAATCTTTCCGAGGGGTTTTTAAGGGTTTGATAATTTTACAGGGTATAGGGGCTCATGATTGACATGGGAAAATTATTGTCCAAAATTATAAGAAGGTTCAAGTTAGGTGAAAAATTCGTCCAAGATAAAAATAATTAAGAAAAATGGTCGTTTTTAAGGGATTAATTCTAGAAAATTTTAATGGGGGTTAAAGGATCCTTGGAATGAGGTTCAAGGACTGGAGTTTGAGGGAGGTTGTCCTAGTGATTCAAAAGGGGTTTTAAATCAAGAAAGGTCGTATAAGAAAATGGGTTCTTATTAATAGGTTTCCCCAAGATAATCCGACTAAGGAAGGGTTTCTTCGAGGAAGGAATTGAGGAGTCATCTTTTCGAGGTGAGTGTAAAGGGGGAAAAATCTTTGTCGTATGTCTTTTAGTTTCCGCTTTTCATTCAAGTTATTATTTAGTTAATTTTTCTAGTATGCGCGATATGTGTGTGAGGCATCCCACCGCCTGTAAGGGTGGAGGCACGCGTTGTGCTATGTATGAATGTATGTGATGTTGTATGGATTGATGGTATGAGGAACCCCCGGGAGGTTGGGTCACTACTGGACGGCGAGACGTAACGCAGTAGTTGACGGGCATGGACTGGACGACGAGACGTAACGCAGTGCCATTGCCGAGTTTGGGTATGCAACTGGACGGCGAGACGTAACGCGGTTGGCATACTAGGGTAGGACACCGGACGGCGAGACGTAACGTGGTGGTCCTAGTGTTTTGTGTTTGAGTTAAGGATAGAAGTCGAGAACTTTTATGAGTTAATGTTGAAATTAGTTGATAAGAATGGTCATTTAAGAGCAGAAAGCGAGAACGGCTTTCATGCTAGGAAGCAAACTCTAATAACGTGTTTAGTAGGGAGTTCGCCTAGGCAAAGACCTTAGGGAGTAACGACGAGACTGACCCCTTCTCACTCACCAGGTGCATAGAGGGGAAGAGGACGCATCCATCAAGAGGAGATTACCCGAGGAGAGCAGCCGCGGCTAACTTGAAGATGTCAACTGGATCTGGGTAATGAGATGGGACCTCCCATTATATTTGTCTTTAGTTTCATGTCTTAATGAGTATACTGGGGAACCTCAAGGGTTGTGTTTATGTTTTGTTGCTCTGGGTTGAGGTCGCCCAAGTGTTTAGGGCATTTCACCTGGAAATCTTAAACATTGTGGTTGTTGGTTTTTGGTTTTGACTTGTAAACCTGTTTTGGGTTGCTCCGGAGTAACCGGTTTGTGGTTTGAGTTGTGGTTTGGTTTTCAAAAAGAGCGGGTCGTGTCATTTCTTCTTTCCAAATTTGTGTTGGAAATTGGCGAGCCAGTGTCGAATACACCAGCGCCATGTCCATCCCCACTCGTCAGGAAAACCACCCACGGCATTCCTAATCCCCGCGTGTCGATCGGATATAATCGTAATACCCTCCCGCTGTGTCATGTGTTCGTGTAGTTGGTCAAAGAATCATGCCCAACTTAAGCTGTTCTCCCCTTCCACTATTGCAAATGCAAGCGGGAAAATCCGCCTGTTTTCATCAACGCAGTGGCAATGAGAAGAGTTCCTCTATACTTCCCAGTAAGGAAGGTTCCATCAACCTAATTAAATACTATGAAGTAATTAGTATGAAATTTACTTGGCCTGCAAGAATAGAAACATTTCAAATAGTAAACATGTATTAAAATACGTGAATAACTGGTATGCAGAACGCAAATCCGTCAATGCATGGTTTGAAAGCCCAAAAAAGACAGTGAAACATCAACTTCTCCTATACTCGAACTTGATCCTCAGTGTATACATTGTTGTATACTGGCACGAAAACAGTCCCAGGGTTGGACTCCTCCATTGCGGCCATAAGTCTAGGGAGTAAAGCATACGAATCCTCCCAATCACCATACACCTCAGCCATGGCTTTCTGCTTTCCATGCCATGCTTTTTTGTACCTTATCGTGTAAGAATGTCGATCCTTCACCTCGGCCATGATAGCTTTGACCTTGATATTTGGTTGTGATTCGATAAGGTGTTTAATAGTTCTCCCAATTTTCTTTGCTTTAAGTTGCCTGTCATCCTGGGAACGTATGGACGAGGAGCAAGTGTGGTTGGTCTCAGCTTTTCGAATCACACATGCACCCTTTCTCTTCATATTTGCAGCCCGCAGTTGCCACGTACAGCCCTCTGCATCATTCTTGCATATGACATGTAATTGTTTACTGTCAGAATATTTTACCTTCCACTCGAAATTGTGCCTCAAGGCCTCTTCGGTAAAGGCATCCTGCATAGCGTCCTTCGATGAGAACGCCATACCCACCTTCAAATTGGTCGTCGGATTATACACTGGCGTAGGGACAAAGTCGGGGGCATCATTCTGACTATGTAAAAATTGAGTTGGAACCTATGTGTAGTATTGCGTCGGTGCCTCACGAAATACCGCCTCGTCGTCGTTATCATCAGTATCTTCCTCCTCGCTCACTGATCTCAAATCTTCCTCAGTATCATCGTCGCTCGATTCGAATGGATAGCTCGGCCCAGAAGGATCAACATGACCACCATCACCAACATCGTCTTCTCGCTCATGTGAAGTACGCCCTGCTCGAATGGTATTCTCGATTTCAGCCCACTCAGGCCCCCAAACAGGCCATTGAACGCCATCGGCAGGTTGATCCTGTTGCGAGTATTCTTCCGATGGCACCCATCCTGCACTACTACCTCCACCGTAGTTTATTGAACTACCACCCTCTCCGTAACCTCCTGTATAACCACCTCCTTCGTAGTTGCTCGAACTACCACCCCATCCATACCCTCCTGCAAAACCATCATCATAAGAATACTGGTGAGAATGAGTTTCACCGACCGCCTTGGTCTCAACATACATCTCTGCTTGCCGCATCCCGTTATCGCTTAGGAACTGTAACATCATCGTAACCGCTTCATCATCGTTTATGACAACTTTTTGGTACACAAGCCCGCCAGTACTCATACATGGATACCAGTAACTAATTTTACCAAGTCTCGTCTGTCCGCTCGTACAAACCCTGTCTGCACAAATATCACAGAGTTCTTGAAAATTGAACCGCGACTCAATTTTCAGCTTAGTGGATACACCGTCCTCATAATCAATCCCAATGTCAGAGTTTGTAACCCTTCCATTCCATCGAATAATAAGCTGAAACTTCTTGAATTTACCCATATCTACAATTTACAATAAGTAACTATTAGCATAATTCCAGTAATTCATAACATCGGCCATATTTGCTACGATAAGTAATTCATAACATAACAATATAACTACTAAAAACAACCATTAGGAATTAATAAGAAAATTAAATCATATCGAAAATTCCTGTTTTGTGTATGTTGCTCGATTTTGGCTGCTGAAATTTGAAGAGGGGGGAGGGATTACGTTTTTAGAACTGCAAGTGGGAGTGATATTTAAAGGAAAATCGGCCAGTATTCACCGCCTTTGTCTCAAACGCTGAATAACATCACCGCGTTTGTCTCAAACGGTGAACATTAGGTAGTTGTGACCTAATTTTCACCAACCAGGTTCGGGAAACGTGGTAAATAATCACCGCCTTAGCCTAAGGCGGTGAATATGTTCCCCGCTTTGCCCTAAGACGGTGACGTTTTCACCGCTTTTAACTTAAACGGTGATGTCTTCACCGTTTTTGTTAAACGCGGTGAACACTTCACCTCTTTGAACAAAGACGGTGAACACGTCACCGTTTTATTTTAAAACGGTGATATGTTCACCGTGTTTGACAAAAGCGGTGATTATATTCACTCCGTTTGTCAAAAACGATGAATGCCAAACATGTGTAGTTTTGGAAAAAAATTTATAACTTATGTATTTTGAGAATTTTTTTAAGAACTAGTGTACTTTGTGATTTTTTCCCATTTAGTGGGTCAGGACACTATTTGGGCCCGTTTACATTAGTAGTTTTTTTTCCATCCGCGTTCGGCAAACCAAGATCACTCAATCTTTCCATATTTACCCCTCTCTTAAAGACACATGTGCCCGTATTCACTTACAAATTTTATGTTTAAAAATATCTTTACTTTATGTTAGTTATAAAAATTAAGTCTATGTTAAGAATTCTACATCGATTATACACATTCAAGAGTGCAATTCGATATGCAATATTTTTTTCCCTCAGTAATTGATATGCAATATTTGAATCAATGACATTTCGCTTGCTAACTATGGTGGAAAAGTCCTATGATTTTTCAGATTTAAGCCTCCTTTATATTTGTAATTGAAAAAGATCACACAAATGTGTTTATTGTAAGTGATTATGTTTCTTAACTTTGTTCAAAGAGACTATGGTTCAAATATCATTACTGATGTATTTTTTATGTAAATGATCGTGAATACGAATCTACCCCTCCTATTTTCGCTCAGGATGAAGGAAATTTGAAATGGGGTTTCAAGTTTTCTCATTTGACTTTTATTTATTGGGTAGAGGTAGATGTAGATAGATAGATGTAGATTTCCTTCGTTCTTCTACTGGAGGAATTGGCGACTCGTAGAAATCACAAGATAATAACTTCCTTGAAACCATCAGAGAAACCGAAATGGATCATTAAATTCGATGCAATCATTCTTGTGAAATTGTATATTATGGAATTTCTCAGACCTAACTTGATGAGCTTGTTTGAGATTGTGTCTATCAAAGAGATTCTCCTTTCTATGATACATCGTTCCTATTCCACCTACTTGCATTTTACATCAACCACACAAAAGCAAATGCAACAATAGGATCAAATGGAGGGAAATCTACCACCTCTATGCATCATGCTGTCACTCATGAGAATGATCAACTTCAATACCTCACGAAAATCATCTCGACCGAAAGAAACCCTTCTTCGGCTATGCAGATATGACGTATATGGGTGGGGTGGATTGTGTATACATATACGGTTAATTTTTTTCTCCAGAAATCCTTCAGTCGAAGTCACCTCCTGGCAAATCCTTGCCCTGCACCGAGCAGCAAGGCCTTCCCAATTGCGCCCGAGCGCACCCCACATACCACAGCCACCGCCCCGCCTAACACTATCCATTTCCAATCAATCCCATGACGATCCTTGTTCTGCATTCCTTTCCCCTCCACCACTCTGCTTTTGCTTCCTTCATCAGCACTACCTCCTTCTGATGAGGACAACTCGGCTGTGTTCTTATCGAGAGTAACTTTGGTGGTGATATTGGCCATGGCTGCGCATTTGGACAACGATGAACCATCTGCTGCTGCTTTTCGGGCATTCTGGTATGCACACATCCCGGAATGCAGCTTCTTCACTGCCCCCACATTCCATGATGTAGTCCTAGTTTCGCCACGTCTTTTGGGATCCCCATGTCCTCGTAGTGCACGAGGACCACTTCACATGCTGACATATGCACATCTCCTTTCCGAGATTCAACTGCCAATGATTTTATAAGAAAGAAGAGTGTAGTATTTTCAGATAAGATAGCTCAACTGATGAACACTTTTGACGATAATCAGAACTGGATGGATCTCACTAGTCACCACTACTTACCTGGCCTAATTGCCCAACTGGAAAAATACAGGTCAACACGTCTTGGCTTGTCCCGCTTCTGCAAGCTCGGGTATGGCACCCTCTGCAAAGACGCTCCACTTAATGTCATGCAATGAACACCAGCAATAAGATACCCGGAAAATCAAAAAGGAGGGGATGATATGCTGAAAGGATACCGGTACCTTAGTGACACAACATTAAGTCTTCCCAGTCTCCCATATTCTTTGATCAATAATGTATTCTCTATCACTGCAGAAAAATGGAGATTGTAGAAAAGAAAAATGGGTTACAGGTTTAATATGCCCTTCTACTATGACGCTTTATCAAACATGCCCCTCTACTATTTTTTACATTAAACATGCCCCTGTACTTTATAAAAATGATCAAACATGCCCTTTTGTTAAAATTTTCATCCAAAAACCATTAACCAAGGCCGAACTTTAGTTTGGGCGACACAAATGACTAAAATATCACTAATAAATTCACTTTAGAATTTTTTTGGTTCTTTTGTATAATCAAATCATTCAAATAATTTCACTTTGAAAAGACCAAGGGAAATAAAAAAGGGGACAAAACTGACATTTTTCCTCTAATTTGCAGATGTCGGGTCGTCTAAATTTCGGTTCAACCACGATTGACGATTTTTAATGGAAATTTTAACAGAAGGGCATGTTTGATAATTTTTTCAAAGTACAGGAGCATATTTGATGTAAAAAATAGTAGAGGGGCATGTTTGATAAAACGTCATAGTAGAGGGGCATATTATACCTATAACCCAAGAAAAATCTTCAAACTTGACACCGACATCATGTATAAAGTGCCTCAAATTCTGCCCAAAAACAATGCACCTAATAACAGTAACTGATATTACTATATGAACAAACCTTCTTTATCCAATGAGAAATGCTAATTCCAGTAGAGGAGTATTCCTCCAATATCTTAATGTATCCTAGCATTGGTTGGGTCCCATTTTGGACGGAAATAGCCACCCGCCATTCGTTGACCTTCCAGTATGACATCTCCACTATGAGAGAAATAGGCATCGCTCGAAGGCCCTTGTACACATTATTTATACTTTCTCCATGGTTGGTAGTTGCAATACCCCATCTGGCCCTGTTGTCCATATGGAACGTCCACATGGCCAATTCTTGACCATCAGCCCATACTGCTCCAGCTCGGTGAGTCTGACGGATCGTCTTCATCTTCTGCTCGTACTTTTTTGGCTGATGTGCAACAGGGCCAGATGGGGTATTGCAACTACCAACCATGGAAAAAGTATAAATAACGCGAGTTAACACCTGGTCACGATTCACAAACTTCTTAATTGGCTGGACTATGCAGCAAACACGTAAACTATCAATTGCAGTACGCATACTAAATTATGCATTATCCCTATTTGTTACCTATCAGAGCCAAAGCAATTCAAACAAGCAGTTCAATTTTTCAAAGAACTTCTCTTTATCTTACCCATGGAACTTCCATTTCTACTCACGTAATTCTATACATCAAATCATTTCAATTCTCAAACTGCTCAACATCCCTAATTGACCACAACATTGAACTTCAGACTGGATTACCGCACTAGAAAGCGATCACCCATAGAAATAATTTTGACCGCGGTGAAGCGAGCTAAGACTCACCTAGCAGAATCAGAAAATGCCTCCGGGCTTCTAGCTGTCGACGCAGACGAAGAAGCAGCAGCCGCAACTGACTTCTCCCTTTTGCCTTTGAAATTATACCAGATGGTGCGGCAAACAGAGAACGCCGACAGAGCCGTGAACGCCAACCAGAGACGCTGGGCGCCGAACCCCGGAGGCTCCGTAACCCTAGGAAAACCAATCTGGTCCACCTTGGGCGCCACAACCAGCCGATCAGGATCCCGATCATGACGGCCAGCCATATCGGCACGGCACAGAGCAAAATATCGACGAATGTTTCGGTAATGGAGGGTTTCTTCAAGAACTCCATCAGATCAAAGAACGACCCGTCCATTTTTCCGCCTAACCCAAGTTCTATCCACGCGACCCGAGAGATTTGACGGCCAGGTCGAGGAAACCAAAGGCTCTACATGGATGGATGAAGGAATGAACGAGAATGGCGAGAAAAGCCCTCGGCTCTGTGTAAAGAATGGGGATCGGTGTTTTATTTCCAGCGAAGTAGAGAAGCAGAGTTTTTACAGGGGAAAGAAGAAATACAGCTATTGTCTAACTACTCTCGACAGTTTACTGAATAGATGCCAAAAATTAGCTACAATCAGTTCTTCCTCTCTATTTATACCCTCGCCAGCTGTCTTCAACCTTCGTTTCGTCACCTCAGGTCATTACACTCTGACAGATCCAGAGAGTAACAAAGGGATTCAGATAGATAGAGAGAGAGAAAGGTCTGTGAGGTTGAAGAGAAAGAGGATAAGAATTACGTTTGGAGCTGGTGGTTAATGTGACGTGGTGCGTGGTTTTATCGGTTTTTTGTTTTTTTGGGTCTCACGGTGGCGAAGGACTTCCGTGACTTCAGAGCAGCGGCGCGTGCGTGGATAAGGCTCTTGGCGGCGGTTAATTACAGAGTATCAGTGTATCAGTATCACCCACTGTCGACATTGGTAAATCGACAGCGAACGCGGGTGGATCCAGTACTTATATGTGTCAAAACAGAATCCGACCCGATTAGTGAGTCCAATCAACTCGATCCGCAATTCGATCGCAACTCGAATTGATTAAAAGTCAACAACCCGTAATCCGCCCGACCCACAACCCGATTGACCTGCAACCCAACTAACTCGCAACCCGACTGACCCACAACCCGATTAACCTGAACCTAATTGACTCGCAACCTGATTAAACCCGCAATCCGATTAACCCAAACCCGATTGACCCGAACCCAGCTAACCCGCAAACCGACCGACTCAACCCAAACTTCACCTAATCCACTTGAATAATTATTATATTATATAATACATAGTGTTTGTGAGACTCCACTGGCCTTGGGCGGCTTCGATGGTCGAGGGCGGTCTCCGAAACCCTGCAGAAAGGTCTCCAGGGGGTTCCTGGGACCTCCTCCGATGCTTAAGTTAGAGAGAGAAGTGAAGTGGGAGTAAATAAGTGAGAGAATCGAGTATGTAGAAGTTACCATCAATGTGGCTCATCATTGGGTATTTATACTAGTTGTAAGCGGATTGTGGGCATTTAATGACTTGTCGGGCGTCCTGGGACGCCTGGACGCCTTCGACAGTACTGGCTTCTACATACTTTGTCAGACTCCGTACCTGGGAAGGTTAGGGGCAGGTATCCGTTTGCCATTATGTCGGGCGACCTTTCCTTTATGTCGGGCGGTTCTCGCCTCATTTGTAGGGAAAGACCGCCTTCCGTCAGTTTGGTGACCCGCTGCCCTTGTTCAGGCCCAACTTGTTTTATGGGCCTTAAGTGGCTATGGGCCTGGAGCCCAAGTGTCTCAATATTTGGCCCAACATTTGCCCCTTAGGCGTGGGAAGCGATAGGTTTTCGCGGCTAAACGATACTTTTGCACAATGTTGAGCGATTCTGGGCTTTCTGGCTCATAGTACACGTTGGGCGGTCCGAGGCCGCATTGAGTGCGCTCCCTTGTTGCCCCCAACCGCGGAAGCGTATCGTGAGGGCGTCTGAGGGGCGAAGACCGCATCCGCCCCCTTACTCGGCCTCCTAGTCTCCACGTGTCATGCATCGGGCGCGGAGCCCTGACACCAGCAGCCGGAACGTCACCTCTGGGGGTGTTCCGCTCTTGGGTTTCGCGAAAAAGGTCTCATCAAACGTCATGCTTTCCTTTTTCGCCTTTAAGTAGGATTTTCGGAGAGATTTTGCCACTCTCCTCCGGTTTGGGAAATCTCTTCGTCTTCTTCCTCTTTTCTTTCTCAGCGAAAAGCTCCAAGGCCTTCTACTTCGCCGACTATAAATTCGCTCCTTCAGGTGAGTTTTGACTTGGGTTTTTGTTTGGGACGCGCAATTTCCTTGGGTTTGCTGACTCGCTTATTACTGTTTGTGGGTGACGTTGGTGTTTTGGGTCTTGGGGATCGTCGGTCCCGCTCGCTTTCGCCGTCGATAGATGTCGAGTGAAGGTCATCCATCTCCGGTCAGCGGATCGAGGCACGATGCCCCCGACGCGGGAAACGCTCCGGTCGCCGACTCTGGACCCACGGTGGTGTCCGGAAAGGGCCCTGCTCCTTCAACCGCTACTTTACCGCCTCGGGCGGCCGGGAAAAAGCCTGCGGAGACCGCTTCTGGTATTCAAGGTACGAATCATTCTTCTCCCGTTCGAAGCACGTCTGGATGCGTATGGGATTTATCCGAGTTAGAGTTATATGTTGGAGATGGGTATGAATTGCGAGATTGCCTTGTTGGGACTTAGTGTAGACTTAGATAACTCTTGTGCTAACCTCCACCCTGTGCCAGTTGGGGTTGTGGCCACGTCGTCGGCGGTCGGGGATAATCTGGGGGAATTTGAGCGGGTAGAATTAGATAGCATTTCTTTGGATGACTCAGAGGAGGCTGATAGTGGTGGAGTGCGGTCTGGGGCGCATCCGAGCACTTCTTCCTCATTGGAAATTTCGGTAAGTGGGGAACCGAGACCGCTTCCTGTTGCTATTAAAGACCCCGTGTACACTGTTCTTCGCCACGCGGGTATGTGGGATGGTGAGCCTATTCCGGAGGAGGTCTTCGAGCAGGGTCCTCCTCATGTAGCGGATTTTAATCCTGATCAGGTGTTATATCGGCTCAAGTCGCTGCGCATGCCCCCAGACTGGCTTTACGCGGTCCCTTCTGGCAGGATTCGCATCGGGTCGTGTCCTAGTGGATGGATACCCATATTGGTTGAGCATGTTAAGCTGGGTTTGAGGTTTCCCCTTGACGATCTTCTGACAAGGATTATGCACCGACTTCAGTGCACTCTAGGGCGTCTCTCTCCGACGATTATCTTCCATTCGGTTATGTACCGTTTGGCGTGTGACCGCCTTAAAGAAGATCCGTCGTTTGATGCGTTCATGATGATTTACAATATCAGAGACTCGACCAATTGTTGGTCTATTGGGAGGTGGGAAAACTCGGTGGTATTCGTGACTGGGGCGCCTAAGCTTGATTCACCATGGTACAAGGAATACTTCTTTGCCCGCCCCTCGTGGAAATGGTACGCGGGTGATGTTGAGCCGCCTACCGGTTATGAAGTCGGCTCCAAGGATGACTGGTGTGATGCTAACCAGTTTCCTCAATCAGTGCGGGATCACGTGGCGCGGATAGTGAAGAGCGTTCAGCTTTGTGTACAACATAGCGGCTCTAACAGTGCCTATCAGCTTGTTCGCGGTTTTTATGGTTAGTAGTGTTTACTCGAAACACCGTTCTTTATCCTTCTCATGTGTTTTTACTTATGCTTTCTTTCTCCAAGACTGAAGGAGTTGGCAGATGCCAACAGGCAGAAGAAGAGGAAGGCGGGGAGGACCGCTCGAGCGGGAGACGCGTCTCCGTCTGCAGCAGTTACCATGATAGACCTTTCGGCAGCTTCACAAGGTCAATCGCCCTCGAAACCGTCAGGTGCGGCCGGGGCTTCTTCTGTTCCCGTCGCTCGGGGTGCTGGAAAGCGGGTGATGGAGCGTGTCGTCTCTGAGGCGGCCTCCAAGCGCACGAAGGTTAGCTCCCCTCGCGTCAAGGCCGGGGAGAAGCACGGTCCAGCTCCAAAGCGGTCCGCCAAGTCTGGCTCTATGACCGTCCCTCCTTTGGCCGCCACCGACACAGAGGCGGCTGAGTTGGCGTTTCACACCATCAGTGAGCAGCTTGAGATGCCCAACGAGTACACAGCTACTTCGTCGGAGAGCAACCGCCGCCTTGCGGGGACCGCATCACAGTTTTTCTTCGGGGTAAGTGATTGCGACATCCTTGGGCTGTTTTCCAGCGTTACAATGGGCATACTGATTTACTTTTTGTTTTGCAGGCTCAGATCGGCTTTTCGCAGATCATCCTTATGAACGACCGCCTAACCAAGACTGTGGATGACAATGCGGTCGAGATTGCGAACTTGAAGAAGAGCGTGGAGGACGGTCGTGCAACCTTGAAGGAGGAGCTGCGCCCTCAGATAGAGAAGGACTTCATGGATCAGCTAGCTCGAAAGGACAAGGAGTTGCTGGAAGAGAAAGAAGCGTCTATGGTGGTTCGGGAAGAAAGAGACCGTCTCCAAGTGGGCCGAGACTCGGTGTTCGGAGACTCGGCGGGGGACGCCTGGCATGTCTTCCGGACCCCATGCGAAAAGGTCCTGAAACTCTCGGAGGAGGGATAGTAATTTCTGAGCTTCCTCGTTGGCCAAGTGGGCAGAGATGCGCACGGTTTTGCTTGGTTCTTCTTCGTTGAGGGGAACCGCTATGTCGCCCTCGACCGCCTCCGGGCGGGGTACGTCATCCCTTGCGTCGACTAGGTCGACCTCCAAATGTTCGATCGTCGCCTGGTAGCATTCCTTGGCATCCCTGGGGTTGCCTCGGACACGGCCCGTTAGGCTTCCACTCGGGAACTTCAACATTTGGTGGCAGGTTGAGGCGACCGCTTCGAAAGTTGCAAGGAAACCGCGACCTAGAATAGCATTGTAAGCGGAAGGACAGTCCGCGACGTGGAACTCCACCGGACGAGTCTTTGTGACTCCGCCCTCTCCTATGGTGACTCTGAGGGTGATTGACCCAAGGACGCGGACTTTTGTTCATGAGAACCCTACCAGACTGGTGTTGGAGGGTTGGAGGTCTTGGACGGACTTCTTAATTCCTTTGAGCGCTGAATAGAATAGTATATCCGCCGAGCTCCCGTTGTCGACTAAGGCTCTGGTGATTTTGAATTTGGCGGTCCGAAAGGAAATGACCAAGGGGTCCTCTGAGTTTTCCTCGTTGGCCAACTCAGAGGGCAAGAAGGCGACCTCTGTCTGCGCTCTGCGTTGCACGTTGAGGCATTGGGCGATGCGGTCTCCTTCGGTTCTTGGGCGCTTTCGCCCTCCTGCGATCGTTATGACTTCCATTCCGTCATCGTCGTTCTGGGGTGCTCTGTAGGGGGGAGACTGCCTCAAAGGGGAGGCGACTTTGTTTCGAGAGCGGGATCTTGATCTTTCCTTTCTTATCCGTCTCGCCTTGTCCTGTTCAGGGCTTGGAGACTCCTCCTGTTCTTCTGCCGAGTGCTCTCTATGTGACCGCCTTGTTTCTAGCTTGCTTCTTAGGTCTCCCGGGGCCAGATGCCGGAGCGTGGCCTTGAACTCTCTACACTCTGTGGTGTCATGGGTTGTGATTTGGTGCCAGTCACACCACTTCTTTCCTTCCTGCGGTTCTTGAGCGGAAGACGTCTCGTACTTCCTTCCGCCTTTCTTTCGATCTCTGCCCCTTTCTCTGTCGGTGGAAAGCACGTCTCTTCTTCCCTCCCGATCAGTG